TGGGTCCCCTCCTGGCTCCAAGACCCCTGGGTGGAACGTGGCTGGAACCAGCCCCACTTTGGCCCTCTGCCTGTGAGTGTCTTCCTCAGAGCCCTCCCCAGATGTACCATCTCGCCCAACCCTGCCAAACACGGAGGAGGAACCTGGGACCCAGTTGCTGGCCAGGCCCAAGCTAGGCAGGGCAAGACCGGGCAGGCACCCACAGTAGGCCTGGGTCCTGGCTGCTCCGCTTTCTCTCCAGGTCTCACTCCGTTGGTTTCTTCTCGCCTCCCAGGAACATCCATGGGGCTTGTGCTCCCCATTCCTCCTCTTTTTCCATCAGTAGACCCAGGGCTTTGGCTTGTTCCTGACTCCGCCCTCTCTCCCAGCTTCCCCAGGCGGCGCCCCATCCTGGCCCCCAGGGCTGTGTGGGGATGGACAATGCCTTTTTGGGGGTGCACATAGCTCCTCTATCTACCCTCATGTTTGTGATCAGGAGACCCTGGTAAGGTGCAGAGGTGGGGGCCTCAAGGAGGAGCAGGGGTCCCACCGATGAGCCCACTGAGCCCGCCTGGCCTGGGTGGATGAGAGGCAGCAGGTGCAGGGCCCCTCCGCTTACCAGCTGCGTGATCTTGGACAAATTACTTAACTTTTCTAACCCTCAGCTTCCTCCTCTGTAAAATCAGGACCTCAGGGTTGTAGTGAGAACTCAATGAGACCCTGTCGTTGCGGCTGGAATTCCGTCAGCCCTCAAACACGGGACGCTGTTACTGGTTTAGTAACTCACGTCAGGCAGAGAATGGGGGAGATGGGAACCTGCCTTGCTCTGGTCCCTTCCCACTCCCACCGTGGACCCCAGGCCTGCGACAGTCTCTGGCTTCCTCCTCTTCCCCCAGCAGCTGTTTGTCCTGGGACAAGTCAGCTGAATCTAGAGGTGCCCCCGACGGGCTGTCTCGGGGACCCGGCTCTGTCCTCTGCTCTCTCAGAGACAGGCCCATCCCCGAGAGCTACCCTCCTGCTCACCCGCCACACACACATCACACACTTCTTGGAAGCCCCGTGGCCTTTATTTAGACGTTACAGGAAGGAAGTGGGTGTGGGGGGTTATTTTTGACAATCTGGGTTTGAAATTAGACAGTGCGACTCAGGGCATCAGCCTGATGGGCCCAGCCAAGGGTGGGCCTGGGGTCTCCCTGGCGTCTGTTTGCCCAGGGGTGGGAAAGAAGAGAAGCTTCCTATGGCCCTGCTCCTCCGAGTGCCCTGACCCGGCACGCCTGCACCCTGCTGTCTCAGGGGTGTCCTTTTCCTGATGTCAGGGTTTGAAGAAAAACGAAGTGAACCGTGCTGAGAGACGCGCCAGATCTCCTGCAGGGAGAGGCGGGGAGGGCTCAGGGTACCTGGGAGCCGACAGGATAGTGGTGGGATTTGGGGGTCCCAGGAATTCCGGGGTGGGGGCAGCCACTCACCAGGAGTGGGGAGTCGGCGCGAGGAGTGGAGGAGGGAAGGATGGTGGCAGCCGGGGAGATGGCGTCAGCACCATAGAGCCAGAGTGGAGCGCGCCCATGCAGAGCTGGGCAAACGTCCGTCGTCACTTGCCCGGTGACCCTGGGCACATTCCCTCCCATCACTGGAGGCTCAGGCTGCTCCTGTGGTGCCTGGGGCTGGAGCTGAGCACTGGGTACCCCCCTTCCCGGGAGGGCTTGACTGGCCTCTGACCGTACCCCCGTCTTTCCCCAGCGCTGGCATTGGCCGCACGGGCACCATCATTGTCATCGACATGCTCATGGAGAACATCTCCACCAAGGGTGAGGGGCACCTGGGGGCTTGGGGGTGGGGCTGAGCAGCCCCTTGGTGTCTGCCTATGCCTGGACCTGAGGTTTGACTGCCCCCCACCCAGGCCTGGACTGTGACATTGACATCCAGAAGACCATCCAGATGGTGCGGGCGCAGCGCTCGGGCATGGTGCAGACAGAGGCGCAGTACAAGTTCATCTACGTGGCCATCGCCCAGTTCATTGAAACCACCAAGAAGAAGCTGGAGGTCTTGCAGGTGCGTGCAGAGCAGGGCCTGGGGGGCTGCAGTGCGGGGCGGGCGCCACCTAGCCGTGCTGGGATCACCACCCTCCCACCGTCCCTCTGTCCATAGTCGCAGAAGGGCCAGGAGTCGGAGTATGGGAACATCACCTACCCCCCAGCCATGAAGAACGCCCATGCCAAGGCCTCCCGCACCTCGTCCAAGTGAGTGGCCCTGACTGCCACCGCCCGGCATCCACCCCTTTGTCCTGCCCAACCCGATCCTCACTTTCTGGAGAGGACAAGTGTCACAGCTGGGGGGGCCTGGCTTCAAGTTCAGGCTTGGGTCTCACCCTTTCTATTCATAAGCATTTCCCGAGTGCCCATCACGTGTGGGCCTCTGCTAGGTACCAGCCGTGCACTCCTGTATGAGATGTAGCCTCTGTCCTCTAGGAGCTTGGAGTCTAGTGCGGGGACAGTGGCTGGGTCGCCTGTGAGATGGGGTGGCCAGAGGGGGCTGCCAGTGCCGAGTCCCCCGCGCTGTCTCCTGACCTGCACCCACTGCCTGTACTTGCCCCCCTGCACCCCGCTGCAGACACAAGGAGGATGTGTATGAGAACCTGCACAGTAAGAACAAGAGGGAGGAGAAAGTGAAGAAGCAGCGGTCAGCAGACAAGGAGAAGAGCAAGGGTTCCCTCAAGAGGAAGTGAGCGGCGCTGTCCTCAGGTGGCCATGGTACAGCTCTTCTGCCTGGGTGTCCTCCCGGCCCTGCCCCTTGTCCTTGGCTCCACTGCCTTCCCTGGGTGGATGGGGTGGCCGTAGCCTCACTCTGTGCTTCCCAGATGCCCCAGACCTTCTTGTTCCCCCTCCAGGTTCCAGCCACCCTCTCACTCCCTCACTCGCTTCTCTTGGCAGCCTCATCCCTGAACCTGCGGAAGCCTTCCACGGTGGACAGACTCACAACCTGAACCTAGGAGCGCCCCATTCTATTGTAATTTAAATGGCTGCATGCCCCCCACCTCTCCCTGACCCTGTATATAGCCCAGCCAGGCCCCAGGCAGGGCCAACCCTTCTCCTCTTGTAAATAAAGCCCCGGGATCACTGTGTGTCGCCTCTGAACGGTTTGCTTGCCCAGTGAGTGGTTGCCCAGTGAGTGGGCGGCCGGAGGGCAGGATGGGTAACCGTGCGTGCCTTCGCGTGAAAGCTCCGCCTTCTGTCAGACGGACGTGGGTTGGGGCTCCGCCTCACACGTGGGAGGGTGACCGTGGGCGAAGCTCCCCAGTCTCCTTCTTTAAAATGGAGGGCGATCATAACAAGGTGGTTATGAAAAGCACCGAGATGACGGCCGACGATAAGACGGGCACAGTGACTCACCACAAGCTCGCCATGTGCCCAGGCACTAAAAGACTACACACGATAGTTCAGTCTAGGCACTTTTATCATTCTCATTTTACAGTGGAGGAAACGGAGGCACAGAAAGACTAAGTAAGTTGGTCACTTGCCCAAGGTCACAGGGTTATGGAACAGTGAAGCTGGGATTTGAACCCAGGCCGTCTGGCCCCAGAGTCCACACTCCTTACCCTGGAGTTGCAGCTGGGGCCACCCTCAGGGGGGCCTGATCACACTCCCCTGATGCCGACTTCCAGATCTGAACTAAGAAGAGTAGTTAACAGCCGGAAGCGCAGACCCGAGGCCAGCCCTGCTTCGTCCCCTCTGGCGGGAACAGGGACTGGCTCCTCAGTGCACCCAGGCGTGCCCAGCTCCTCCCCTCACCCAGGCTGCTGCCGCCCTTATCCTTTTGGGCAGAGTTTGAAGAGCTGGCTGGCTTGAAGATTACTTTGTTTTTTGGTCCCCTCTTCCTTCCCCCATGTCAGGATTGGCGTTTCTTCTTTATTTGAAACACTGGTCTCCTGGGGAGTAAAGCCGGTGGGACTCATCCCTCAGGAAGGGCTGGCGTCCACTCCTGGAAAGGCTGAGACGGCACAGGTTCCAAAGCCCAGAGGCTGGGCGTGCATTATTCAGCAAGCCCTTCTTATAGAGGCCCCGGCACCACAGGCATTCGCAGTCCCCCGAATTGGAATTTAGGCTGGTCAGGGAGACAGATTCACAACCCGATCACAAGCATCAAATAATTGCTGGCGGGTGTTAAGAAGGAAGCAAACAAAGACCCGGAGAGAGAACAGCTAGGGATTGAGCAACACAATAGCTCCCTGGGGCTACGGCCCTCCAGGGCGCGGGTGGGGCAATCACCTGTCGGGCTCAGGTCCCCGCTCTCAGCAACGCCCTTTCTATCCCCGCCGGAGCTGCACAAAGGCAAGTCCCACCTCCTCTAACCGCCCTTGGGCTACCTGCCCTTGGGGTGGGACTTGGACTCCACTGAGGGCTGTGCTGTGAGGTGGGTCCAGGAGCTGCTCGGTCCGGAGAGTGGAGCGCGATCATTCCCTCTGCAGGCCTCAATCGAGGGGCAGGGCTGATGCTCCGGGCCAGCTGGGGTCTCTGGGTAGCGGTGGGTAACTCCACACTAGGGGCACCTTGCTGGGACCCACCTGCCCTTCACAGGCCTGGCGGGGCCTTCTCCCTCCTCTTTCCCTCAGGGGATCCCAGCACAGGCTGGGCACCGCGTGGCGGCACAGCCCAACTCCTGCCCAGCTGACCCCTCGCTGACCTCAGGGATCTCTCTGGCCTTCCAGCTCTGCTGTGGGCAGGGTCTGAGGCCACAGAAGAATGGGCTAGTCCTGGGGGCAGCAGCTGCTGTGGGGAGGGGACCTGAGAACAGCCCCCCTCTTTTTGTTCCTCTGGAGAGAGGGGTGAGACTGGGCAGGTTTGGAGGAAAGAGGCCCCTGGGAGAAGGTGGGAGGCCTAGAGGAGTGGCCAAGCCTTAGAGGAGGTGCCCATGGCTGGCGCTGGGAGGGAAGGGGTTAAGGCGGTGAGGGGGCAGCCTATGGCAGGAGGACACACCTGTGCGCAGGGTGGCAGGCGGGGCCCAGGTAAGGAGCCTGCGCTGCCCGGCAGGCGGAGAAGGAAGGAGGAAGAGCGGAGGCCAGGGCGGGCTCTAGGCCGTGGAATCTGGGGCCTTAAAGCCCCTTCGTCTCCCCGGCACCCACTCTCTGGGGGCAGGCGGGCCTGCTGACAGGTAAAGGCCACCAGGGGAGAGGTCCTGGGCTGAGCTAGGGACTGCAGAGGGGGGACGAGGGTGGGTAAATCGGTGTGTATTGCGGGTCGGGACAGGCTGTGGGGGTGGGGAAAGGTGGCTCAGAGGCAGGGGGCCGACGGGCGAGGGGCTTCGGAAGGCTGCTTGGACCGCAACCTGGGCCTAGCAATCAGCGACCCAGGGTGTGGCTGGTGGCGGGTAGCAAGGCTCACCAGGAAGTGTCCCCAGGGACTCGGGTGGTGGGGGGATGGGAGCCAGGGATCTGCAGCTTTTCCGAAGGGAGCCTGGGCCTGAAGCTGCCTGACCCAAGGTGGGCGGGCTGGGTGGGGGCCCTCGTCTTACCCAGCAGTGTTTGGGTGCGGTTGGGAGTCTCTAATACTGCCGGGTAATGATGGAGGCCCCCGTCCCTGTGTCAGCAACATCCATCGCCTCAGGTCCCCAGCTCTTAGCTGGCTGCAGCCCCCTCCCCACTTCCCACGCTCCCCGGAAGCCCCTTGTCTTGAGCTGAGAGTGCTGTACAAGGGGTGGCTCTTGTTGACTGGCTGCCACTAAGGGACACAATGGGCCCCAGCCCCTCCTCCCACCCAGTGCGATTTGTCACCTGGTGGATCTAGAACCCACAGTCGACCTTGAGCTTGGGGTTGGCTCGCCCCCTCTCAAGAGACCTGACCTGGCCTGTGGGCAGGGTCCCTGTAGCAACTGGTGAGCATGCACCGTAGTTCTCTTCTGGCCGGCCCTGGGCCCATCTTCCAGTACAGTGTTGGATGGTCTAATTGTGAAGCTCCTAACACTGTCTGGTAAAGATGGCCCCCGGGTCGGTTTTTCAGCAGTGACCTTCAGGGACCCCTGAAGACCATGGAGGACTACTGACCAACAACCTCTGACCTTCACCCCTCTGGATGGGGGGACGAATCACTAGGCAAAGGGGAACAATGGGAAGAAGACAAAATGGCTGCCTTTACGGCTGCAGCGAGAGTTGGAAACACTGGTTCCCTAGGCACCTCCATTGTCTTCCCGCTTTGGGAACATGAAATAAAGTGTGAATGGGAACATGAGGAAGACTGACCCAGGTCACTTGACCTGTCTTTTGTCTAATTGTTGATCTCAGCCTCCCAGCAACTCAGGATTGGGGCTGCGACGTCTGCTTTGTCCTTCGATACTCAACCCTAAGCAGAGAAAAACATCTTAAAAATCGAAGCTAATTAACCCAGTCCCTCTGTTCAGATCCACCTGCTGCCCTATCTGCATTTGGCAGTTCCTGTACATACTTTGCCCCCATGTTTTGTCTGAGTTCTACATCTTCCTTGTCTCCCCGCAGGGATGGGAAATGGGCAGTAGTGGGAGATTCAGGTATAAACAGTGGCTTTGTTTCTCTGGTGCCTGAGATTCAGGAAGGCCTGTCTTGGGAAGATAAGTGTCAGCTTATCTGTGGACTGAACAGACAGGCACCTGTTCCGTTGGCCCCAGAGCTGTGGGAAAGCCCACCTCCACAGGGGGGCCCTGTTAGCGAGCAGCTCCTCACGCCTGGTGACTGAGAAATAGAGTGTGGGTGGCCTATAGCAGGCCGTGCAATCCACCGGGCTTCTGGGCACAGAAGTGCCTCAACAGGCACAGGCAGGCTCCCCACAGCCACAAGGAACCCTGCAACCAAGGAAGCAGCTCTGTTGGGGTCATCAGATTTTAAATCTGGCTCAGCAAAGCCATGGCTGCCCAGCCTTAAAAAAACAGGTGGTGTGGGAGAAATGGAGGGTGGGGTGAAGAGCACAGCTGGGCCTCCAGAACTCAGGGCCAGCCTTCCCAGTTTGGGTCCTGTTTTGGAGCCCAGGCCCAGCTTCCCCGTAGCTGCCCCAGCCAGATTTGTTTGCGCCCCCTGCTGGCAGACACAAAGACAGACTCAGGAGCGCATATGTGAACGTGCGCATGCGTGCTGCCCGTTATCCAGTTCGTGAACACGTGAAGCGTGAAGCCTTGACTTCAGGTTAAGTAATAAAAATTTATTGAGAGTTCCTGGGTTGGTGGTTGTCTCCTCCCAGCCTTGAGGGAGGGAACAACACTGTAGGAAATCACTGAGAAATCACACAATGTCCCAACAGCCCCAGTTAACACAGGGAGGAGGAAAGTAATTCCCCAGAAAAGGGGCTGGTCTTCAGTCTTCCTTAATCCAAGAGGGGTTCAGGGGATCGGTGTGGGGGACCATCGCATGATACTGGGGCGGGGTAGGGCTGTGCTGGACCCCTGGCTGGCTCCTCAAAAACTGGAGAAGCAGATCCACTTCCTCTGGGGGTGGAGTTCTTGGTGACTAGGCTCATTTCTTACCCTTGATGAGGCTGTCACTGTAGAAAAAAAAGATAGATGATGACATTATTAGGGGACATAAATGTGAGAGGCAGGACACTCCAGGCCATTCCCTCTACGACCCTCCTACCCCGATTGAGGGTTTGTCTGCGGGGAGGTGGGAAAGGGAGTAGGGTAGGAGGCAGGTACTGGGAGAAGGTGGCCTGCAGGACCCCACAGAAGCAGCAACAACTTACCTTCCTCTGTGATGCCAGATCGCCAGATGAACAGGAAGCAGAGAAGAGAAATGCACATGTTAGCTGACAGCTTCAGGCCCCACTCAAGTTTTGAACCCTCCTTTGCTCCCAAGAGAAAAGACAAACAGGGTTGACAGCCAGGAATCTCTGATTCATGAAAGGAGGTGGCGTGTTCTCATGGCCACTGCTATTTCTCATTTCCTTTCCTAACATCCCTCCCTGCACCAAAGGAGTTTGAGGGCTCTTGAGTAAGAACACTGAGTATCATCTTTCATCACTTTTTGGTTGGATGAAAACTTTATAATTAAAGTGCTTTTTATGTGAATAATCCTATTTGATCTCATAAAATCAATCCTATGAGACACAAGATAGAAACTGTCAACCACCCCCTTTTCTAATTTTGGTTCAGTGTCTCTCAGAGCCATATGAATAGCTGTAGCAGGCTCCAGAGCCCAAGCACCCAGACCCAAGTCCCACGTTCTTTGTGAGACCCCACTGTGTGGTCACATCTCTCACCTGGTGAAACTTTCATCCTGTAGGTTCAGCACAAGGTTGTCAGCCGTGAGATAAATGCGATTCTGTGATGTGGCGATCTACAGGGCAGGAAATACAAAGACCTCAATTCCACCCCTGCAATTCAGTAGCCACTTAATGGAACACATGCAGATTAGTAGAGGAATACAGCAATGAATAAGACATGGTTTCTACTCTCATTTAGGGATCCAGAGCAGTGAGCAGCAGCCATGACTATTAGCAAAGTAACAGAGGCAAGAATGGCAAGAAAGAACAAAAGGTCAGGGAATCCAGAGGAATCATTCTTGATGAGGGGGAAGAGTACTGGAGAAGCCAATTATTTATTAATTTATTATTTTTATTTTTATTTACTTAGTTTTTTTTTTTAAGATGGAGTCTCGCTCTGTCGCCCAGGCTGGAGTGCAGTGGCGCGATCTTGGCTCACTGCAAGCTCCCCTCCCGGGTTCACGCCATTCTCCTGCCTCAGCCCCAAGTAGCTGGGACTACAGGCTCCCGCCACCACGCCCGGCTAATTTTTTGTATTTTTTAGTAGAGACGGGGTTTCACCGTTGTTAGCCAGGATTGGTCTCGATCTCCTGACCTCGTGATCCGCCCACCTCGGCCTCCCAAGTACTGGGGATTACAGGCGTGAGCCACTGCGGCCCGGCCTATTTACTTATTTTTTTGAGGACAGAGTCTCGCTCTGTTGCCCAGGCTGGAGTGCAGAGGCGCTCTCAACGGCTCACTGCAGCCTCTACCTCCCAGGGTTCAAGCAATTCTCTGCCTCGGCTCCTGAGTAGCTGGGAGTACAGGTGCCCGCTACCATGCCTAGCTAATTTTTTTTTTGTATTTTTTTAGTAGAGACGGGGTTTCACCATCTTGGCCAGGCTGGTCTTGAACTCCTGACTTTGTGATCCGCCCACCTCAGCCTCCCAAAAGTGCTGTGGATTACAGGTGTGATGAGCCACCACACCCAGCTATTTATTTTTTGAGACGGGGTTTTGCTCTGTTGCCCAGGTTGGAGTGCAGTGGCCGTGATCATCAGTTCACTGCACACTCTGCCTCCTGGGTTCAAGTGATTCTCCTTGCCTCAGCACTCCTGAGTAGCTGGAATATAGCTAAACACCATCACAGCGAGGCTAATTTTCTTTTGTATTTTTGTAGAGATGGGGGTTTCACCATGTGGCCAGGGTGGGTCTTGAACTCCTGACCTCAGGTGATCCACTGCGCCGGCATAAAACCACGTCTGAGTAGAACCCGAACAAGCAAGGTTTGAATGTCCAACTCCCTCCAATGTGCCTTAACTGGAAAGCACTTTCTCAAGGCGACCGCCATGCCATCAGAGACGCTGGGCTGACACACTCACCGTCTTGGAGATATTCTGGGCTGCTCGGATCTTGCGAAGTTTGATGTAGCCAGGGTTCTTGCTCCAGTGCTTCTCCAAGGTGAGGAGGGTTAAGGTTCACACAGGGCAGGGTACTCAATCCCTGGCCCCCAGTCCTTACCACACTCCCTTGCTACAGTCCTCCTCTGGGGCTGTCAGATCAAGGTGTTGCGCTCAGGGTGGCTTGTGCACCGCTCTACCTTGGACCCCACCTGTGGGCCTCCCTGGCAGGGCTGCGCCAGGAACTAGGGCAGCAGCAGAAATGAAGGCAAGGCCAGCAGTGCTATTGATCTGGCCTTACAGTGGGAGAGTCAGGGCTCAGGTACCCCCACTAAGCATTTCAGATCTCATCTGTAGCCCCACCACCCAACAAGGAGCCAAGGGCCAGAGAGCACGGAGTCGCATTCGCCTTAGTCTCATCAGCCTGCCGTGAAGGAGGATGGGGAACTCAGGCGCGCCCTAGGGGGCTGGGGCCGAGGACCTCATCGCAGAAGGATATCATCTTGGCAGCCTCGGCCTCACCCTCGGCCTGCACAATCTTCTGCGCTGTTCCTGCTTCGCTTTTTCTACCAAGAAATTGGCCGCTGGGCCTCCTGCTGGGCTGTAGCGGAGAGAGTCAGGGAGACCGTGGTGCGGGTCAGGAGACCCCCGTCCACCGAGTCTTTCCTTCCTCCTGCATCTCGGAAGCCCTCCACCCCACTGCTCGTGCGACTCACCCACTTGTTTGGCTTCTACAGCAGCTGTGTACTCTCGGTCTAAAGCTCAGCTCTGTGATGGCCACGTCATCCAGGATGAGGCGTGAAGTCCTTGGCCCTCTCTGGTCAGCGTCCGGCGATCAATTAGGGATACCTGGGGGCAGGGGTGGGAAGGGTGGTTTGAGGATCGGGTTGTGACCGCGAAATCCTCACTCTCCTCGGATACAAATGCATGCTTGCCTTAGGCTTCCTGTCAGGCACAAACCTAAACATAAGGCCGTCTCTGCTGAAAGAGGTGCAGGGAAAAGCCAAGACTTGGCCATTTTCCTCTGTGCTTGCCGTAATATACAAGTGCTTACGAGTTCTAATGCTGGCTATCTCCTTATCCACAGTGGGCAATTAGCACAGCTTTTAGTGGAAATGGCACTAGGGTGCCAATCCTCTTCTACTAGCTGCCTTTCCTAATTCCCAGTACTCTAGAAAGGGAAAGGCTGACACATGCAGTATGGTGGTTGGAGTCAGACCTGAGGCCCGCTGGGTGATTCAGGCTGTGAGGCAATTGAACTTGGCCACACACTCTTGAGCACCTCGTTTGACAAATACGAGCAACACATCGGTTCCTCGTAGTCCGGCCCATAGGCGCTGGTACATGGCTAGAAGTGCTGCCTGAGCATTGGGTCGAGACAGCACTCGCAGGGAGATGTATCACCAATTCTGTAGGTCTGGATGAAGGTCAGCAGTGGCTGGGTCAGGCCAAACACCCTTTCACAAGCATTTTTCTCCTTCATGTTCTCCCTTAATATGCCCTGCTGCAATGATTGACAGGGCTCATGGCACTGCCCTGAGGGGGAGGGGAGAGTTAATCAGGGCTGGACAAGGAACACATGAGGCAGCACAGGGGAATGCACCTCACCCACTGTGAAGCCTGGAACTGCAACCCCGTCACCAGCAGGACTGACCGCTTTTTCCCCCTCGTACTCCATGCAACTCTTAATGTGGGGTGCTTTTCACCGCTGTACCGTAATCACGTCTCCTGTAAGGACTTCGGGGGGACAAAACATGTCTTAATGAATCTTGTATCCAGGGCCCAGCAGTCTAGTAAATGAATAAGGCCACCTGACTTAGGTATAGTACAAAGAAGTACATTACAGGTTATAGGTGACCTACCTCACCACAGGGTGTACTGCGTGTTGATGTGTGTGTGTGTGTAGGTGCTGGCTGTGTGTGTGTGTGGGGAGGAGGAAGAGGCTGGGGACTCAAAACGCATGGTTTTATGTGTGGTGTAGAAGGAGAAGAACAGGTGAACTAAGTCAAGGGTAGGGACAAACTTCTCCTGAACAGAGTATAACTTAGTGGATTGTAACTGTAGAATATAGTAGTCAAGCAGTTAGAAAAAAAGGCTTTAACAAGGCTTTGATCTAAGGCAGTGAAATAGACAAGAAACAAACAAATAACTCATTATTGATATTGAGACAGTAGAAAGCACGCAAACACAGGGTGTTCAGAATGTGCTGCTTTGACCCCGGGAGGCAGGTATTTTTGTTACAGTTCTTGCAGACATGGAAACTAAGGCCTAAAGGCCTGACACTACCATCTTCACCTGGGGTTTCTTGCCAGCTCCCTTGATCATCCCACCTGCCATGTGATTACCAAGTGCTCAGACCTACCTTTGGAGCCTGTAGGGGAGGAGATTTTTCGAGGTCTGGCCCGAATGTCATAGATAATGGGGTACTGGAACCAGGGGATCCTGGAGGGGACAGGGATAGGTATTAAGAGGCCGCAGTTTCGGCCAGGAGCCGTGGCTCACGCTTGGAATCCCAGCACTTTGGGCGGCCGAATCATTTGAGATCAGAAGTTCGAGACCAGCTTGACCTATATAGTGAAACCCCGTCTCTACTAAAATACAAAAATTAGTCGGGCGTGGTGGCGGGCGCCTGTAATCCCAGCTAATCGTGAGGCTGAGGCAGGAGAATCGCTTGAACCCAGGAGGCGGAGGATGCAGTGAGCCGAGATCGCGCCACTGCACTCCAGCCTGGGCGACACAGCAAAACTCCCGCGCCCCCCTCCCCAAAAAAAGCCGCAGTTTTACTAGCTTTGCCCGGTTTCCCCTCACCACGCGTTTTTTGACCTGCTCCTCCCCATGACCACCGACAAGGAGAGATTCTCTTGTCCCTTTGGAAAACAACAGTTCATATGCTGCTGGAGGTTCGCGCAGCACCCACTATCCTAGGAGCAGGGATGAGGAGGGAGGGAAAAGAGCAGCGTTGAATCCTGTTGCACGTCCCACTACAGCCACTGCTGGGTCGGCGTCAAGGGTGAAAGGTCAGGGTCAGTAAGCTCTGCCCGCCATTACCTGAAATGAAGGCCCTCGGCCAGGATAGTGTCCTGCTGCACTCCACCGATCCGATTGAAGAAGATGGCTCTGTGCCCGCCTTCCACTGTGGGGAGAGGGGTGGTGATCAGGCCAGGCCGCTGCTCAGAGTAAATGCTAGCTAGGCTCGTGGTGGGGCGCGGGGACCGGTGAGACAGGGCAAGGGGTTTGGGGGAGGGACTGGAAGCGTCCGGCGAGCAGGCGAAGGTTGCTCACCAGTGAACACGGATTCGCGTACACCGTACGCCACGGCGCCGGCCCCCAGCAACAGCTTCAGCGCCGTGCCCATGCCCCGGGGCCCGGCGGGCAGCCGTCCCGCCAAGTCCTTCAAGTTCTGGGCCATGTCTGATCTTGAGGCCGGCGGCACCGGAGGTCAGAAGGGGGTGCCGGCCCGCCTCTACCCGGCTGCAGCTTAGGTACTGCACCCTTCACACGAGGGTTCGGGCCCGTAATACTGGCGAAAGAAAGGGCACCGGAAGTGCGCTCCCTTGGAAACCCTCCCCCTTAGCCCACTACCGACCCGAACTTCGCGCACAGGAAGAGCGCATACGGAAGTCCCGCCCTTTTCTGGAGGGCTGCCCTCCCAGGGAGGGCAGCGCAAGTCGGCAAGTCATCGCCATTTACAAGCCCACTTTCAAAATGGCAGCCGGAAGGAAATTTGTGATTAGAAGCCTCACTGTTCTCATTTAAGAGCGTTAGCGCAACTTCCGGTCTGTTTGCAAGATGGCCGCGCCCAGTGGTGGATTCAAGCCTCGTGAACGAAGCGGTGGGGAGCAGGCACAGGACTGGGATGCTGTGCCACCCAAGCGGCCCCGACTAGGGGCAGGAAACAAGATCGGAGGCCGTAGGCTTATTGTGGTGCTGGAAGGGGCCAGTCTGGAGACAGTCAAGGTAGTTTGGGACAGGAAGTGGATAAGTAGTAAATCAATAGACTGGGATCCGTGGAATGAGGGTGAGGGGCTCAGAGTGGATGGAGAAAGCAGAGAGGGGTGAAAGATGCTTTTGAAGGAAGATGGGTTGGTTGGCTGTGCGTTGATCTGACATCCTGGGATGGTAGTGCTCTTTTTTCTTTTTTTTTTTTTTTTTCGGCGTTTCGCTCTGGCTGGCGCCCAGGCTGGAGTGCAGTGGTGCGATCTCGGCTCACTGCAAGCTCCGCCTCCCAGGGCCAGATCCTGCCTCAGCCTCCCGAGTAGCTGGGACTACAGGCGCCTGCCAGCACGCCTCGCTAATTTTTTTTTGTATTTTTTTAGTAGAGACGGGGTTTCACCATCTTGGCCAGGCTGGTCTTGAACTCCTGACCTTGTGATCCGCCCACCTCAGCCTCCCAAAGTGCTGGGATTACAGGTGTGAGCCACCACACCCAGCTATTTATTTTTGAGACGGGGTCTTGCTCTGTTGCCCAGGTTGGAGTGCAGTGGCGTGATCTCAGTTCACTGCAACCTCTGCCTCCTGGGTTCAAGTGATTCTCCTGCCTCAGCCTCCTGAGTAGCTGGGAATATAGCTAAACACCATCACAGCAGGCTAATTTTCTTTTGTATTTTTAGTAGAGATGGGGTTTCACCATGTTGGCCAGGTGGGTCTTGAACTCCTGACCTCAGGTGATCCACTGCGCCGGCCATAAAACCACTCTGAGTAGAAACCCGAACAAGCAAGGTTTGAATTCCCTCACCTCAATGTGCCTTAACTGAAAGCACTTTCTCAAGGCAGCCATGCCATCAGAGACGCTGGGCTGACACACTCACCGTCTTGGAGATATTCTGGGCTGCTCGGATCTTGCGAAGTTTGATGTAGCCAGGGTTCTTGCTCAGTGCTTCTCCAAGGTGAGGAGGGTTAAGGTTCACACAAGGGCAGGTCTCAATCCCTGGCCCCGTCCTTACCACACTCCCTTGCTACAGTCCTCCTCTGGGCTGTCAGATCAAGGTTGCGCTCAGGTGGCTTGTGCCCGCTCTACCTTGGACCCCACCTGTGGGCCTCCCTGCAGGCTGCTGCCAGGAACTAGGGGCAGCAGCAGAAATGAAGGCAAGGCCAGCAGTGCTATTGATCTGGCCTTACAGTGGGGAGTCAGGGCTCAGGTACCCCCACTAAGATTTCAGATCTCATCTGTAGCCCCACCCCCAACAAGGAGCCAAGGGCCAGAGAGCACGGAGTCGCATTCGCCTTAGTCTCATCAGCCTGCCCGTGAAGGAGGATGGGGAACTCAGGCGCCCTAGGGGCTGGGCCGAGACCTCTCACGCAGAAGGATATCATCTTGGCAGCCTCGGCCTCACCCTCGGCCTGCACAATCTTCTGCCGCTGTTCCTGCTTCGCTTTTTCTACCAAGAATTGGGCCCGCTGGGCCTCCTGCTGGGCTGTAGCGGGAGAGAGTCAGGGAGACCGTGTGCGGGGTCAGGAGCCCCGTCCACCGAGTCTTTCCTCCTCCTGCATCTCGGAAGCCCTCACCCCACTGCTCGTGCGACTCACCCACTTGTTTGGCTTCTACAGCAGCTGTGTACTCTCGGCTAAAGCTCAGCTCTGTGATGGCCACGTCATCCAGGATGAGGCTGAAGTCCTTGGCCCTCTCTGTCAGCTCCCGGCGGATCAATAGGGATACCTGGGGGCAGGGGTGGGGAAGGGTGGTTTGAGGGGACTGGGTTGCGACCCCGAATCCTTCACTCTCTCGATACAATATGCGCTGCCTTAGCTTCCTGTCAGGCAAACCTATAACATAAGCCTCTCTGCTGAAAGAGGTGCAGGAAAAGCCAAGACTTGGCCATTTTCCTCTGTGCTTCCTAATACCAAGTGCTACCGAGTTCTAATGCTGGCTCTCCTTATCTCACAGTGGCAATTAGCACAGCTTTTAGGTGGAAATGGCACTAGGGTGACAATCCTCTTCTACTAAGCTGCCTTTCCTAATTCCCAGTACTCTGGGCCTAGAAGGGAAAGGCTGACACCATGCAGATGGTGGTGGGAGTCAGACCTGGGCCCGCTGGGTGATCAGCTGTGAGGCATTGAACTTGGCCACCACACTCTTGAGCACCTCGTTGACAATGGACGGCAACACTCGTTCCTCGTAGTCCAGCCCTAGGCGCTGGTACATGCTAGGAAGCTCCTGAGCATTGGGTCGAGACAGCACTCGCAGGGAGATGTTCACCATCTGTAGGTCTGAGATTGAGGTCAGCAGTGGCTGGTCAAGGCCAAACACCCTTTCCCAAGCATTTTTCTCCTTCATGTTCCTCCCTATATGCCCTGTGCAATGATGTACAGCCTGGCACTGCCCTGGGGGGAGGAGAGTTAATCAGGCTGACAAGGAACACATGAGGCAGCACAGGTGAAATGCACCCTCACCCACTGTGAAGCCTGGAACTGCAACCCCGTCACCAGCAGGGCTGACCGCTTTTTCCCCCTCTGTACTCCATGCAACCTCTAATGTGGGTGCTTTCACGCTGTACCGTAATCACGTCTCCTGTAAGGACTTGGGGGACAAAAATGTGCTTAATGAATCTTGTATTCCAGGGCCCAGCAGTCTAGTAAATGAATAAGCCACCTGCACTAGGTATAGTACAAAGAAGTACATTACAGGTTATAGGTGACCTACCTCACCCAGGGTGTATGCGTGTGTGTGTGTGTGTGTGTGGGGAGGAGGAAGAGGTCTGGGGAACTCAAAAGCATGGCTTTTATGTGTGGTGTAGAAGGAGAGAACAGGTGAACTAGTCAAGGGTAGGGACAAACTTCTCCTGAACAGAGTATACTAGTGGATGTAACTGTAGATATAGTAAGTCAAGCAGTTAGAAAAAAAGGCTTTAACAAGGCTTTGATCTAGGCAGTGAATAAGACAAGAAACAAACAATACTCTTATTGAATATGTCAGGGATGAGACAGTAGAAAGCACGCAAACACAGGGTGTTCAGAATGTGCTGCTTTGACCCCGGGAGGCAGGTATTTTTGTTACAGTTCTTGCAGACATGGAAACTAAGGCCTAAAGGCCTGACACTACCATCTTCACCTGGGGTTTCTTGCCAGCTCCCTTGATCATCCCACCTGCCATGTGATTACCAAGTGCTCAGACCTACCTTTGGAGCCTGTAGGGGAGGAGATTTTTCGAGGTCTGGCCCGAATGTCATAGATAATGGGGTACTGGAACCAGGGGATCCTGGAGGGGACAGGGATAGGTATTAAGAGGCCGCAGTTTCGGCCAGGAGCCGTGGCTCACGCTTGGAATCCCAGCACTTTGGGCGGCCGAATCATTTGAGATCAGAAGTTCGAGACCAGCTTGACCTATATAGTGAAACCCCGTCTCTACTAAAATACAAAAATTAGTCGGGCGTGGTGGCGGGCGCCTGTAATCCCAGCTAATCGTGAGGCTGAGGCAGGAGAATCGCTTGAACCCAGGAGGCGGAGGATGCAGTGAGCCGAGATCGCGCCACTGCACTCCAGCCTGGGCGACACAGCAAAACTCCCGCGCCCCCCTCCCCAAAAAAAGCCGCAGTTTTACTAGCTTTGCCCGGTTTCCCCTCACCACGCGTTTTTTGACCTGCTCCTCCCCATGACCACCGACAAGGAGAGATTCTCTTGTCCCTTTGGAAAACAACAGTTCATATGCTGCTGGAGGTTCGCGCAGCACCCACTATCCTAGGAGCAGGGATGAGGAGGGAGGGAAAAGAGCAGCGTTGAATCCTGTTGCACGTCCCACTACAGCCACTGCTGGGTCGGCGTCAAGGGTGAAAGGTCAGGGTCAGTAAGCTCTGCCCGCCATTACCTGAAATGAAGGCCCTCGGCCAGGATAGTGTCCTGCTGCACTCCACCGATCCGATTGAAGAAGATGGCTCTGTGCCCGCCTTCCACTGTGGGGAGAGGGGTGGTGATCAGGCCAGGCCGCTGCTCAGAGTAAATGCTAGCTAGGCTCGTGGTGGGGCGCGGGGACCGGTGAGACAGGGCAAGGGGTTTGGGGGAGGGACTGGAAGCGTCCGGCGAGCAGGCGAAGGTTGCTCACCAGTGAACACGGATTCGCGTACACCGTACGCCACGGCGCCGGCCCCCAGCAACAGCTTCAGCGCCGTGCCCATGCCCCGGGGCCCGGCGGGCAGCCGTCCCGCCAAGTCCTTCAAGTTCTGGGCCATGTCTGATCTTGAGGCCGGCGGCACCGGAGGTCAGAAGGGGGTGCCGGCCCGCCTCTACCCGGCTGCAGCTTAGGTACTGCACCCTTCACACGAGGGTTCGGGCCCGTAATACTGGCGAAAGAAAGGGCACCGGAAGTGCGCTCCCTTGGAAACCCTCCCCCTTAGCCCACTACCGACCCGAACTTCGCGCACAGGAAGAGCGCATACGGAAGTCCCGCCCTTTTCTGGAGGGCTGCCCTCCCAGGGAGGGCAGCGCAAGTCGGCAAGTCATCGCCATTTACAAGCCCACTTTCAAAATGGCAGCCGGAAGGAAATTTGTGATTAGAAGCCTCACTGTTCTCATTTAAGAGCGTTAGCGCAACTTCCGGTCTGGTTGCAAGATGGCCGCGCCCAGTGGTGGATTCAAGCCTCGTGAACGAAGCGGTGGGGAGCAGGCACAGGACTGGGATG